AGAGTCCAGATTAGACTATAATAGAAGTGGTGTGTAGACATATGTTTGCAAATTAAAAGAAGTCCAAACATAATGAAAACATAAAAAAAAGTTTTGAATTTATGCCAAATCAAGTACCATATAAAAATTAGATGAATACCTTAAGTAATTAGAGGAATATAACAAAGTAGAATTAGAAAAGTATCAAGAATATAACAAAGTAGAATTAGAAAAGTATCAAGAATGATAGTATAAAGCTTGCTTTAGTATTAATGTAAAATCTAATGTAGTTTGCCATAATTTATATAAAACATGAAAATGGTTCTACTAACAAAAATTCTAAAACATGTGGGGGATTACTATACACATTTGTATTGTTCATATTCTCACATTTCATTACTATTCAAATTTCTTTTAATTTTTTAATTTAGTCGTCAAACTTTTTTTTAGAAAATTGCATTCCTTTAAAGCCAAATTAAAGGGCAGCTAATTCAAATTTATTAACCAAGGACAAGATTGAAAGAAAGAGGAATAATGTGGAAAAGGCATAGAAAATGGGTGTTGGGTTCAAAGTTCTCATGAAAAGTTCAGTTTAGTCCTTTAACTTTAAAAATTTTACCCATCTGATCCCTAAATTATTTGGCAATTTAATTTTAATACAAAAATTTATTTTTATTATTTTTCAGTTTTTAGTTTGAGAGAGGAGAGAGAAATAGAATTGTTAGATTTCTATGTTAAGAGAGATAGTCATTTTTCATGTCATTCTCAATCACTAAAATGGTTGTTATTGGTGTCCACAGGTTTCATATGATGAGAGGAATTTAATAGTTATTGTTTGAAGTGTCATTGATGCCTAAAAATAAATATAATTTGAGGAAGACAAATCTAATCTGGTTTGATTTCAGGTTCTTGGACCTTTTTTGAATTTTTTAGGTTGATGGATTAGTTTATAAGTGTTTTAAGAGTATTGGTAAAATGTTTTTAGATTGAAATGACTTAAAAATTAGGTTTTTTATAGTGAAAAACCTATTGCCAAGGTTTTTTAAGCATAATAATAGTGTCTTGAATCTGACGACACGTTATTTTTCTCAATAAGCTACATGTCATTTGCTCATTTAAAAAAGACCAATGTTGAGTGTATAGGTCTGGGCTTGCCCATGCACCGGAGATTTTCCTTTCAAATGCCCAAGCATGTTGGGTTCCTTTTTGCCTTTTTATGTTTTTTTTTAAATTTATTTTATATTTAGGTTAAATATAATTTTAAGAAAAAAATATTAAACTTATTGATTTCATGACTTATATAGATGAGTTAAGTCATAATATTTGAACTTTTTTTGTGGTTGTTTAATGCTTTTTTATCCCTCGATTTAAAAAAAGAGTAAAATTTCACAATTTTTTATTTAACTTAAAACTAAAAAACATCAATTTTATTATTTGTTATCAATTATCTACTTTGTTATCTCAGTTCAACACATATGTTCTATTTTTTCTTTAAAAAAAATTATTTCACAAAAAAATCTCATGTCTTTTGCTGTTGTATAATTAAATAAATAACAATCTTTGGGGTAAAAAAATTATTGAGATCCAATGATGTGCATGACCTATGTTGCGAATTTGGTTGATTAACTCGAGTTTACTTGGGTTTTTTTAATTGTGTGTTGTTTTTTTCTTACGAATTTCATCCTCTAACATTGAGTTAATTGAAGATTTAGCTTTATGATTTTTTGTTTTGGAAGATTATCCTAGTAGGTTTCACAGGTCAACCTAAATTGACCATAAATCTAATATGTTTTTGTTTTAATATTAAATACAAATATTCATTGTTAAAATCTTTTTTTTTCTAGAAAACACGTTGGCTATGTCTAAACATTTTTTTGGGGTTCACAAATTTTTTTCATTCTGCCTGTGGCATAGCACAAGCAAATTCTATTATATTTTGATTAGATAAAGAATTTATTCTAAAAAAGTAAATTTATTAGACACAATTATAAGCATGACTTATGTTGCGAAATCAAATATCTTGATTTATATTTATCTCTTATCTTTTAAGTTTAGTCTTTATTTATCATTAACTATTTTTTTTAATGTTTTATTGGTATAGATAATTGTTTGATTTAATAAAAATTTTTGTTGAAAGAAATAAAGATATTAAACATAACTGGATATATAGTCCATATTGCAATATTAAATATTTTGATCCACGTGGCGCGGGTCAAATAGATAATATTAAAAATTGGTTATTAAAGTATTGTTATATTGTTAAAGGATAGCAAGCACATGGTGGAAAACAAAAGTATTGTTTGAAGAAGTCAGGTTTAAAAAAAGCTTCAGTCCTCATATTTGAGAAAAGGATAAAGAATTCAAAGAATTTAATTTCAAATCCAGAGCGTTGCATAATGGTGATGATGGGTATAAGATCATTAATATTTACAATGATAATGCCAGACATACATACTTATAAATTGCTTGAGATGGCTAGGATTCCATGTCCACATGTTATAGTTGTCTGTGCTAGTAAGAGGTAGGCATTGGAGAAATATGCCTTACATCAATATGCAAAAGAAATATTCCCTAATTCCTAAGAATTCTTGGTTGAACTTGTCAATGGTGAAAACTATCGGCTTAAAATTTCACTACTAGATGTCATATGAAGTCTTAACCATGAGCAAAAGAAAGAAGAATGGAGATAATGCAATTGAAAAGGAGAAAAAACTACTAACTAGAGTTAGATGTTTTTGTTTACGAGTTGATTTTTTCCTAAACAAAATCAAACATTAATGCATCCCAAAGTAGGAGGATTGCTAGTGTAAAAAAGGGATGCCTTGACTCTTTTATTATTATTATTATTATTATTATTATTATTATTATTATTATTATTATTG